TACGCATTTCCAAATTTGAAATATAGGTGTGAACAGCTTTCACTTCATTTGTGTTTTTTAATTAAGGATTTAGATGTTCCCTCAATTACAAACTGGTTTTAAATATAGGGGGGAAAGAGTGTACTTTTCCCCCCACATCCTTACTATCACTTATTATTATTTGTGTTCTTGACAATTGCCATTCTGACTGTAGTGCAATGAAATCTTTTCATACATTTCTTGGCTATTTGTGTTTCTTCTTTTGAGAAATTTCTGTTTAGTTCTTTTGCCCATTTATTGATTGGGCTGTATATTTTTTTGCATTGAGTTTTTAATTCTGGAATTAAAAAATTTTAAAAATTTAATTCTGGAGTTAAAAATTAAAAAATTTATTATGGAATCAATTTCCTCAGAGGAAGAGCTGGCAAAGATTTTTCTTCCATTCTGTTGATTCTTTCTTTTCTCTCTTAATTGATTCCTTTGCTGTGCAGAAGGTTTTTAATTTGATGGCATTTCACTTTTGGGGGGTATAGTGTGGATTGAACTCAGGGGCATTCAACCACTGTGCTACATCTTCAGCCCTATTTTGTATTTGATTTAGAGACAGGGTCTCACTGAGTTGCTTAGCACCTCATTTTTGCTGAGGTGGCTTTGAACTCACAATCTTCCTCCCTTAGCCTCTAGCACTGCTGGGATTACAGGGATGCACCAGGCATTTCACTTATTGATTCTTGGTTTTATTTATTTTTATTTCTTGAGTTTAGGGGTTTTGTTGAGGAAGGTGGTTACTGCCCCTATATGATCGCGTGCCGGCCCTATGTTTTCTTCCAGCAATTGCATGGTTTCTGGTTAATTCCTAAGTCTTTAACCCACTTTGATTTGACTTGTGTGTAGGGTGAAAGATAGGGATCCAAATTCATTCTTCTATGTATGTATATCCAATTTTCACAGCACCATTTATTTAAAAGACTATTTTTTCTCCAACATATTCACTTGGCACCTTTGTGAAATACCAGATGACTATAAGTAGGTGGGTTTTTCTCTGTGTCTTCTATTATATTACATTGATCATTATGCCTATTTTGATGCCAATATCATGGAGAGCCACTGATTCTTGGATGAACTTTTCTCCCAATCTGTTTTGTTCTTTCAGCTATAAGAACAAAGATTTGCTCAAGCAAGATCAAGTAAAATTTTTTTCTCTTATTTTTTTTCCCTAAGAATATACTTGGATTGATTAGAGGAATCACATAGAATTCAAGAACAGAGGTCTTAATAGAATTGAGGCTGTTTGAGCCTAAACAATATATGCCCAGAGTATAAGAAAATTAAAAAAATATCTTGGAGAAAATTAAGGATAATAATAACCCTGATTTCTATCCTATTGTTAACAGTTAGTAGATATGTTAAATTAGTGCAACCATTATGGAAAACAGTATGGATATACCTCAAATAAATTTAAAAGAGAGTTTACCATGTGATCCTTCAATCCCCCTATTGAGTATATACGTCCAAAGGAAAATAACTGAAAAGAGCATGTGAAAGAGACATGTGCATTCCTGTGTTTATTGTAGCATTATTCATAATAGCCAAGATATGGAATCAATCTAATCGTCTATCAACAGATCAATAAATAAAGAAATTATGGTATATAACACAATGAAATACTATTTAACCTTAAAAAGGAGGGAATCCTATCATTTTTGACAATATGGATAAATCTAGAAGACTCTGTGCTAAGTGAAATAAGCCAGACACATAAAGAAAAATACTGAATGATCTCACTTCTTCTGGAAATCTACAGAAACTGATCTCATACAAACAGTGATTAGAATGAATGTTGCAAGAGAGAAGGAGGATTTGGAAGTTAGAGGTCAAAGGTCACAAAGTTTTAGCTAAGAAGAACAAAAAAGTTCTGTAGGTCTGATATATGGCATGGTGACTATAGTTAATCCTACTGAATTGCATTCTTGAAATTTGCTAAGAGATGACAGCTTAAGTGTACTCATCACATACACAAACAGTAACTCTCATGAGATGGTAGATATGTTGGCTTGATTCCGGTAATCATTTCACCATAATTATGTATGTAACATTTTGTTTTATACCCTAAATATATACAATATTTGTCAATTATATATCAGTAAAGCTGGAAAAATAACTATTAATAAGACTTGTTCTTAGCTATAATGTTAACATAGAGAATCAGAAGAAGATAAAAGCAAAGAAATGACAGAGAGAATGAGAGATACACGGAAACAACAAAGAGCCCAGACCCTCCCCATTTCTCCTTGCTCACTGGGGTTACAACCTCTTTCCTCTTCTTCCTAGAACCTGCATCCCACCTCTCAATGGTGATGAGGGTAGAATTTTGGTCAGTTTAATGAATTCTAAGAGAAAGATTCCCATTTAAAGATTTTTATGAAAGGAATTTCTAGATCTCCTCTCACTATTCTCATGCACAAAGAGAGATTCAGTAGAGCTTGACTTTCTCTTTCCCTTCTTCTTCTAGAAAATCTACAGAATATTTTATCAGAAATTCTACATGAAAGGAATCTCTGCCACCATTTAGAATCAGGGCATGAGCAGATTCTTGGAAGTCCAATTGCCGGACAGTACAAACATATCTTTGAGAGTATCTATGACACAGGAACTAAGATCTGCTCACAGGGTTTGTATTCAGGTAAATCCAAATACAAATGTGCAAGCGATTAAAATCACTGTCTCTTGGACCTGTCACATAACACATGTAATAAATCCATGAGACCTGGAGTTGTGCAAGCAGCATAGGATGCCCTAGGGATTGTGATACTGGAAGATAACTTTTTCATGGCCTCATTTCTTTATCCCAATTTCATATCAGTTGTTTTAGTCCATTTGCCATTGCTATAATGAAATACCTGAGGTTGGGTAATTTATAAAGAAAAGAGATATATTGAGATCACAGTTTTGTAGTCTGAAAGTCCAACATTAAGCAACTCTATTTGTTTGGCTTCAGGTGAGGGCCTCATGGTGGGTGGCATTGCAATAGTGGAAGTGTGTATGGAAAAGATTAGTGTAAGATAGGAAACCAAAGAGATTAAGGGACCAGACCTTTTTTTTTTTTTTTTTTTTAAAATAATCCGCTCCAATTGGAGCCTTAGAGAACTAATCTCACGCAAGGGTGATACCTCTAATGACTTAATTAACGTTTGCTAGGCCCCATCTCTTAAAAGTTTCACCAACTCTCAATATGGCCACATAGGGACCAAGCTTCAAACACAGACTTTGGGGGACACATTCAAACAATATCCAAATGGTAGCTCTATATGTGGGACTAGAGTGAGAATCCCTGCCTTGAGAGAACAGCCCTGAATGGACCTCGACCATCCAGTCTAGACTACTTCTAGCAGAGGAGAAGACAGTGAGGCTCAGAGAAAGGAGCTCCAACTTTTAGCCCACTGCCACATTTACTCGTTAGTTCATTTGTGGTTTTTTAAATTATTATTTGCTTGTTTGTTGCTTTGTTTGCTTGTTTCATTGAATGCCTAATATCATCCCACAAAGGATTTAAGATAACCCCCAAATACAGAGGCCTCCATATTAAAAATAGATCAGTGAGGAAATGGGGTAAAGGAAATTTGAAAGTAGCAAGAAGTATAACAGTACAAAGCCAGGAAGAGGTAAGAAGTACCTCAAAATACAGACCATAAAGAGGCCAATCTCGGTTGCAGAGTTCAGATGACATATCACATTGGGATCACTTGATCTCAAGACAAAAATTCAATTGTATGGGGTATGTCCTTTTATTTCTTTTTTTAAATCAAATTAAGTGAGACACAAGCCCCCAAATGACCAGGCTGATGGGAATCTTTAGTCTCCGTCAGCAAGGAACGTCCTAACTTCTTAGTGATTTCCCCAAATCAGAAAGCCTTATCCAGGGCCCAGAAAATGATAGACATTTGTGGGTTGCCCACCCAGGATCCGTTGCCATATACCTTGTTCTTAACAACTCGAGATTTTCTTTTGTATAATAGCAGCCAGAAGGTTTAGGTGAGATGGATACTGTCTTCAGGAAGGGAGGGGGGTCCTGTAGTCAATCAGTTTTCATAATCTTATCCCACCTGCCACTGTGCTTGGTTTGTGGTTTGCCTCAGACCAATAACAGTGACCCTCAGGACACTTGTTCTCTAACTGTGGGAACCAATGGCTTCTACCCCATATGTGAATCAGGATACTGCAGCCCCACAGCTTGCAGAAGCAATCCAAAAACGCAGAGAAGAGTCATTCTGAGAACAAAGCTGCTATGCGGAAGAGTGAGCAGTAAAGAAAATTTCAGAGCAAAGGGACTGGAACCTGATTAACTAGGCCTGAAACTCGCCCTACTTTTAAATAAATCAAAGATATTTTTAAATGAATTTGAGTCGAGTTTCTCTTTTGTGCTACTGAAGATCTCCTGCCTGTTGCAGCATCCAATCTCTTATGCTGACAGACTCACAGCCTTTGATACTGTTCCCGAACCAATTGGGAGCAGGTCTGACTAATGACCAATGACAGCTGTGGAACTGAAGATTATTATAGCCCTTTTCTTTCTCCAAAATATTTTCTAAAATTTCTTTATATTCTGGGCATAACTATGGGAATGTTGACAGTTATTATGCTGTGAGGGTGTGGGTAGAAAAGATTGAGAGCTGCTGCCCCTCCCCCCAGACATGGGGGTCTGTGTTTCTTACTGAACTGTTGGAGCTGGTGTGGGGAGAGAAGGGTGCAAATATTTCTTTGTGTTTCCTGACAGATAAGTCCTACAATTCAAGGTAAGACCCCTCTGTTCTTGGTGTTACGACTCGAGAATTCCTGTCATGGTACTATTGGCCAATTGCACACATTGTGATGACATGAGTGATATTTTTCATATTTTTCTTACCAAACACAGGCATCCAGGATAATGCAAAAGCATGTACAGTTGTGCAGAGGGGGCAAATAGTGAACAGAAAGAACCCAATGTCACTCACCAAAACCAGGTTTTATATCTGTCTCTTAATTTTGCACATACCAATAACTCTTCACAGATATGAACCAGCTCTGATGGCAGAGGACCAAAGATTTTGTAAACACGAAATAGTTATGGTACGATGTCACTGAAGTTGAGTACAAAGTTAACAACTAGCCAGTATCTCCAAAAATGTTGTTACAAGCTTCCATGGCTTATGAAACCATGGGGAAAAAAGTTTAATTTTTTTTAGTCCTGGTCCCATGATCCATGACATAGACCTTGGAAAAGTTCCTCTCTACTTTGGGTTGTCATTTTTCCATAAGCACAATGAGGAGTTTGGAGGTCATACATTCTGTCAGTGTTAGATTTGATAACAGTCACTCAGTTAGGTGTTTTTGAGCTACCATGTTCCTCATAGCAGTCTTCACGTCCTTGTTCCTCAGGCTGTAGATGATGGGGTTCAGCATGGGGGTCACCACCCCATAAAACAACGAGATGAGCTTGTCTGCCAGGTCCTGCTTGTCGGCCCCCAGGGGGTCCTTGGACTTGGGCTTCCCATACATGAAGAGGATGGTCCCATAGAAGACAATCACCACTGTGAGGTGGGCAGAGCAGGTGGAGAAGGCCTTTTTCCTCCCCTCAGCAGAGGGGATCCTCAGGATGGTGGCAAGGATGAAGACATAGGAGACAGAGATGAATAGGACTGGGATCGCCAGGAAGATCATGTTGGTCACCCCCATGCTGATCACGTTGATGGAGATGTCAGCACAGGCCAACTTCAGGACAGCCAGGATCTCACAGGTGAAGTGGTTGATGACATTGTCCCCACAGAAAGGCAGTCGCATTGCTAGGGATGTTTGTACTATTGAGTTGGTGCTCCCTGCTGCCCAGGAGCTTGCAGCCATGGGCATGTAGGCAGCCTTGCTCATGACCACAGGGTACCTAAGGGGGTTGCAGATGGCCACATAGCGATCAAAGGCCATCATGCTCAGGAGAACACACTCTGTGGCTCCCATGGCAAAGGAGAGAAACATCTGCCCAGCACACGCTGAGAAGGAGATGGTCTTCCTGGGGATGAGGAAGCTGTCAAGAATGAGGGGGACGGAGGAGGTTGTGTAGCAGATGTCTAGGAAGGAGAGGTTCCCCAGGAAGAAGTACATGGGTGTGTGCAGGTGGGAGTCAAGGAGGGTCACCAAGATGAGGACACCATTGCCCAACAGAATCACCAGGTACATGAGCAGGATGAGCACAAAGAATGTTTTCTCCAGTTTGGGGTGGGCTGACAGGCCCAGGAGAATGAAGCCCATCACCGGTGAGGTCTCATTGGATCTGTCCATGATGCATCTGTTCTGAAACCTATAGGAACTCAGAAGGAATTGTCAGTATTCTCTTATTCTAAAGTACCTAAGCAGACAAGCAAAAAACCTGTCCTCCTGAGCATCTGGAGAATAGCCCTGACAATTGGTCCATCCCAATGGAGTTCTAAGAATAATATAGTGGAGATCACTTTTTCTCTTCTGCTTCCAGTAAGAAGCAACAAGTTAATTTGGACTAATCTTCCTGCAAATGAACACTGGAAAAACTGAACACAATATGTAAAACATCTATGTAAAACTTAGAGAGAGAGTAAGACAATGAGAAATCATAGGGTCATGATTCTGGGAAAAGCAGGGGCTCAGAGGAGTCAGCCTGGTCCTTAAGGCTGTGTTTCAGCTGGGGCATTTACAGTTTCTGGACAAGGCCACTGTGAGGCTATTAAGCTTCAGTAAGAGCCTTGTGGAAATGGGAAGCATGTTTTAAAGTATGAGACCCACACTTCAAGACCCTTAACAAAGTTCCCTTTCTTTGGGATGGAACTCCAGAGGGTGGCACCATAGAAATAAGGCAAATCAGAAGAAAAGAAGCATTTGTAAGTGCCATAGTTCAACTTCAAATCTTTTTAAGCCTTGAAATTTGATTGAGGTGATCACAGATTTCTAGTGTTCCCAAATAACCTAACAGAAGCAAACATAAATTTACTCTGAAGAAAGATACCATCACCCCACTCTTGAAAATATTTTCACAAATAATTTTGCAAATTCAACTGCTGGCACACAATAAAAAAGAATAAGGCATACAAAGAGACAAGACAACATAAATGAAAACCAACAGAAATGAACAAAAACCTCAGAAAATAAAGGAGCCCTTTCCTTGGGGAATGTGGGAGTTGAGAGGATATCTCTGTCGATACCTGCTTTGAGAATCACCCCCACATCACCTTGACACCACAGTGCCAAGGTCTTAATATCCTACTGATCCTTTTTGTACGTTTGAAATGGCACGAGTGTGTGTGTGTGTGTGGGGGGATGTGGATGCTTGTACACTATGCCCAAATTGAATTAAAGTTATGGTGGAATCTGTCCTCTTATCTTCATTCTTGATCTGTCTGCGGCAGAGGCACTGCTTTGTTCCTGAGATTCTCTGCAGAGCCCTGGTCCTGCTCTGGTAATTCTTCTTTTTGGGAAGCTTAACTCTCTCCTTAGAATTTTAAGTGCTCTTAAAACTAGGATTTTTTCTAGACTGTTAAAAAAATACTTGTTTGCAACTTTGAGGGTGTTGGGGTTTGGGTTTTATTTGCATTGTATCTAAAATATGCATGAATTTCCTGTAAGAGCTGTCAGCAATCCAGCAACTTCCTCCATTGTTGCAGCAGCACATCATGCCTGGGAAGCTCTAAGACACTTCTGTGTTGGTACCTAGCACATAGTAGCTGTGACCAAGCCAGTGCCATATTATTTCAATCCAGGTTAATAGACATTTATTAGACATCTATTATGGACTGGGCATAATTCTATATTCTGGGAACACTACAATGAAAGATACAGCCCCTGACCTTGAAGAGCTCAAAAGCTATAGGAAATAGTCATGCAAACAAATAATTAGAGAAGCAACATCATCACTTCAATCATAATAGTTACCCCAATGCTCACAACAGATAGTGGGTCTATTTAGCAATTTGCTCCTTTGCCAATGTAGAAAGCTCCTTACTGCATTTTCTGATAGGCCTGTGGCCTAGATTTGACTATCTTAGTGATTGGGGCTCTTTACCTCTCTGCAAGTCTCAATCAGTTTTGAAGTGGTTGTTCTTGGTTATCCAGTTGAAATTCATCTTTTACAACTTCTGCTGCTTCTGTCATCTCAAGTACCTAGAGAGTTAATCCCTCTGCCACAATGCAGCTCTCCAAGTATAGCTTCAGTATAGTTTAGCTTCAGTATAAAGATAAACAAGAATCTTTCTTCCCTTTTTTTCCTAAGTCCTTAAAAAAATAGCTATACGGGCTGGGGATGTGGCTCAAGCGGTAGCGCGCTCGCCTGGCATGCGTGCGGCCCGGGTTCGATCCTCAGCACTACATACCAACAAAGATGTTGTGTCCGCCGAGAACTAAAAAAAGAATAAAAAAATAAAAATTCTCTCTCTCTCTCTCTCTCTCTCCTCTCTCACTCTCTCTTAAAAAAAAAAATAGCTATACATCTTTGGGGCAAATGTGTCATCCTACAATTGATAAAAAAGGCCCATACTGAGAATGGTCCCCAAGCTTGAAGAGGGCCCAGGTGCCCAGAACACATCCCCCTGTAATGTATGGGTTGGAGCAGAAACCTGGGTCATGTGAAGAAAATATTTCCTCTATGTTATCATCCAGAGATGTGGCTGATTAGTAATGTCAGACTTTGGACTTTACAAAATGAGAAAGAGCCCAACAATTTTCATCATGAAGGGACAACTGTAGGGTCCCTGGAAAGCCCTTTTCCTCTGTTTAGTGATGGGGTGAGACTAGATGATCTTAGAGACTCTTGCAGCTTGATGGATCTTTTTAATTCCATGAGAATAATTCCTTGCCAATGAAAGTGCTCCATCTCTCCCCTCCTCAAGCACCCATTCTATTATATTCAAGATTTCTGAAAGATATATCTTTCAGAAATGTAGCTGCATTCTTGAACATTTTGGTGTTGCTTTTATTAAAATTTGCACTTACCTTTATTGGAAACATAATGAACAAGAGTTATCTCATCCCCAAGGATTGGAAAGAGGTTACATGTCAGGAAAAGTCACCCTGGGTCTGAAGTACCAGTATGAGGGCTTAGAACCTGTAACAGGTAAAGGGTCTGACCGGTCCTCTCCCTTCCTCTCCTGTTCTCAGGGCACAGTCTCCAAAGGACTGGCCATTGCTCTTAGAACTCAATTTAAATTCCAGTTTGTTCTTTGGGACTGTTTTAGTCCCTGAAGTCATTTAAAGTTTGGAAAGTGAGTTGTGCTCAGTTTAGAAACTTTGTAATCTTCTGGGAAAATATCCCCAAGATCCAATTATACTGAAGGCCCTGGCAGAAGTTTGGTGCTTGCTTCTTTTACTCCTTTTCTCCCTCCTTCTTTTCTGATTTCCTTTCCCTCCCTCTCTCTCTTCCTCTTTCTCTTCTACCTTCTTCTCTTCTTTCCTTGTCTCCCTTCTTTCCCTCTGAACATTATAATCCCATCAACAGAGTCCAATAGCCTGCTGCTGGTCAGTGATTATGTGATTCATTCAGACACCTCAATTTCTTTCTTCTGTGCCTCAAGTAAGTGCTATGTTGGCCAGGATATGCTCATGCAGTGGTTTGGCTAGAGGGGGTCTGAGTGAAAGACTTACTTTCTCTAAATTTTCATCTCCTTGGATTAGCACTTGTTGTGTTCTCCTCGATCCTCACCAGGCATCCAACTAAGTGACTGTACTTTGAACTTCCTATCATTTGCGCATGTGCTCCTCAACCTTGTGGGAAGTCACTGACCAGAGTGTGACCCAGGACAGAGATGAGTCCATAGAATGGGCACATTTCTTTATTCAGCAAATGCTAATGAGTATAATCCAGAGAAGACAGAGCAGGACAGACACCTAGGCCTCTGCCTTCAGGGAGTGCACCCTCTAGCAAGAGGCACAAGCCTCTAGGGGAGAGAGGGAGAGAGGAGAGAGAGTGAAAGATGACTACCCGACCAGGAAGCCAGGGGGCACCAGGAGAGTGCCTGGCTGTGGTGGAAGGCCGTGGAGGCCAAGCCCAGACTTTCTGGAGAAGATCTGAGGTGTGACCGGCTCACCAATGGAGCACATTGCCCAACTCCACTCCTTGCCGACAGAACAGTTAAGAGATATAGTGGGTTTTGATTGGTCAAAACTCATGTGTGTAAATATGATTTGCCAAGGATAAGCAGAGCTCACCAAGGGAGTAGTCTGAACCTGTTTCCTGGGGAGACACTTGTGTTTATTGTGACTTCCTGAGGACACCTGTGGACAGGACACCACGCTTGTACTAGATCTCTGGTCTGAAGATTGCAACCCCACTTGGAGGATTTAGAGATTCTGTCAGGAGTCGTGAGAAGCAGTACATCCTCTGTGAAGGGGAAGAGAACTGCCGCCATTTTGAGATAAAACAAGGACTGTAATCAGAAACTACAAGGTCAGAAAAACAGAATTTCCCTAAAGAGTGGAAAGAGGAGGGAGCAGCAGTTGCCTCCAGGTAAAGTGAGGGTGCCAAGGCTTGGCCTTTTCATGGAGGGAGACTCTTCATGCAGGCAGGCACCAAGTGAAGGCGTGAGTGTATAATTCCTGATGTTTGAATGCAGGTTATCCAAACAATATTTGCCCGTTTGCAACTTCATTCTAGGATGCCTCGCTTACCTGAAAAACCCACATCTCTTTCTGAGAATGTTCCTTACATTGTTTCTATGCTGTGTACCACAAGGTACCCTGACCATGAGGTGCAGGTGACCAGGCCACCCAGATACCTGACCTGAGGGTGGTCAGCATGCAGGCTGTCCAGCGACCAAGAAGTGGCCTGTTGATCTACCAAACCTCTTAGATCTGTCTTGCAGGGAGGTTGAACTCAAAACACAAGGACAGTTGATGAAAGGCAAGAAGGCACTGGAGGAGAAAACAGGGCAACACAAAGACAGAAATTAGGGAGCTGAAGCTTGATCCATGGTAGCTGAAATCTGAATATAGCAAGGAGAGTAGAGGGTCGTTAGTTCCAGCTGGAGCAAGAGGCACAAGCCAGAGTGTTTGAATCTTCAAAATGGCAGGCCCTGGAGCTGGGGTATCCGAAGCCCTGCCACAAAGGCCCAACAGGAGCCACTTAGATTCTGATTGACTTGTCCAACTGTGAGGCCCAACTGTATCACTGTTCTCCTGTGGGTCCCACAATATCCCTCAGCCTTTGAGGAAATCAAGTGTGATGGAGGGGGAGTTCCTGGCATTCAGAGGGCAGAGGTGAAAGATGGTAGACATCATGGATGCAAGGTGCTAGGGCCCAGTGTAGGATGCTCCCTCCACCTGCTCACAATCAGAGTATCCTCCTACTAGGCTCTA